GTTTGTTTTTTGTTTCTTTAATAGCACAGCTAGGAAAGTTGATCCTTCATGGAATACTTTGCTAAAATGAAAAGAACATCAATATTTTTCTTCCAAATAAATACATATTTGAATTTCATCAGACAGGGTCCTTGTAAAAATAATTACAAAAATAGATATTAGCTAAGCATGAACCAAACTACTCCTTGTTTACCTGAATTAGAAAAAGGTTGATTAATGGTAATGAACGTGTTACATTACTCATTTGTCAAAAAAGATCAATAATGTTAAATACCCCAGGAATGTCACAAAGCTGCCTCCAGTGTTGTGCAAGTTTTGTGTCAGAACAATTTTAATGGAAAACTGTCTATCGAAGGGGCCACTCCTCCACACACAGAGTTCTGCCTCCTGCTTCTCTCCTACCCTCCTGCTTGATGCTGAGGAATGACCCCTGCTAACAGGGGGAAAAATAAATCTAGAAAATAAGTATGGTAATTTTTTGCTTTTATTTGGTTATTTTGCAATTCAGATAATTTCATGGGGGCAGGTATAGTTACAATTAGGCAAAGTGTTAATCCCCAGAAGGGGGATGGGGGAGGAAGGGGGAACTCATCAGTGATGCCCCTGTGCAGTGGAAGGGACTGGGAGTTCCTGCTGGCAGGGCAGCCACCCCTGCCGGCCCTGCTGCTGCTTGAGAAGAGCATGACACAGCCCAGGAGGAGAGGCCAGAGCGTTGCTTGTGGCAACACTCTCTCCCTGTAGCTCTTCTGTAATTATTTCACAGTTTTTATGTTTCGGTGTGATGCAATGCAAATTCCTGGAGGCAGCAATACTTGCCATGAAGGACCAATTAGTGGTCATCTCAGGAGAACTCACGTGGTTGTATCCAGTTGTCACTGAGTCAGATCCAGAAGTGCTTTATGTGATGAGCAGGGATTGCTTTTCCCATTAAGAATCTTGCAATACTGTGAAACAGCGATGTGATAGAGCCTACATAGTAGTTTGAAACCAAATACTTAGAATTCATAGTAATTAAATATACACTGACAAGTACAACCTTTTTAAAGTTACTATAACACTCACTCTGCAGATTTGAGGACAGATGCCCTTAGTTTGTACAGAGGAGTGGGATAGAGGCGCATATCATCTTCCTGATTTTTCACTGATTCCCCTTCTCATCCTGAGTTAATTTAACCTTCCCTTGGCTCACTTTTCCCTCCTACAAATTATGTACATTGTTGTTAAAGTACCTCAGAGAGATATTTCAAATTTTAATTAGTGTTTGTAAAATGCTTTGGGTTATTTGGATCAAAGTGTGATTTATTATTCAGTAATGTATGTTACTGTGTGGTAGGTGTACACTGAGTGTGCTGCAAAGTAGGGTGGCAGAAAATATACTCACTTTTACTTTGTTATCTGTTTGTATCATGTGGGCTGTAAGATTCCCTTTAGTTGGTTTTATTTCCAACAAGTTTGAACAAAGGTGTTTTGATTTTTCACAGCCTTGCCCTTAATAGATATTCTAGTGCATTTTTATGTGAAAAAGGGAAGGGACAACTAATAACTTGATATACTAATGCTAATTGGACACCTCCGTATATTTTTACTGAGCCCTTATTCTATATGGACATGAATGTATGCAGATCATATTGGCAGAAGGTCGTGTTAGTATGTGAGGTCTGAGTTCTAGGTTGTGATTTTAGGAGAATCCAGTTAGAATCCTGTCCAAAATTGTGCAAAAAACTATCCTCCCACACACCAGGCCCCAGAAACATGGAGCACATGGGGAACCTAGGACTGAGCAGGAATGAGAAATGAACCCTTCTAGTGAGATTTGCTTTAACTGATCCCTATAAGGAAGACCTTGCAGACTGGAGCAAACTGGAAATTGTGTCTATATTCTCAGAGAGGTAATTTGGAGTTGCAGTATCTCCAGATGAGAATATAAGCTCTGAATCAATCAACTTTGTTTACATTTTTCTTAATATGAATAGATTTCTCTGCAAGTTGTTTCAGCTACAAGTGTTATTCCTCATGTTGGGAATGACAGGCCAGGCCAGAAAGCCTTTCTGAAGTTCACTGAAGTACAAACCCAGACTTCCAAAGGTACCCTACCAACAGCATCACTTAGGTCCATCTTATGCACTTGCACATTGAATTGTTTTCATCTCTGCCCTGTCCATTTTCAGGTTTATTTCCTGTGACAATCCTTCTGAGCCCACTCCTTCCTTGTTGGGCAGCCAGCAAGAGAGAGCCAGGGGAAGATGATCCTATGCTTTTAGCTCTTAAAGGAAAACAAGCTGTTAGAAATGTGCATATTTTAAGGGCAGATTAGGATATCTAGTTGTGGAAAATGCACAGCACAGTCCCTCCTGGAGGGAACAGAAAACAGACTGCTAAGAGTGAAATCTTCAGGAGAAAACCCGGGGCTTAGGGAAGCTGTGCGAGTGGTGGGGGAAAGAGCACTCCTGCTTTGCGTGATGCTGTGGGCGGATTTGCCTTCAGTTATGCTGAGACATCAAACATCAAGTTCAGAAAAAGAAAAATAGTATCAAACTGGCAGGGTGCAAATATAAACTCTTTATAAGATCAAGTGGAAAGATGATAATATGACAGGCACAGGGAAGTTATGGATAGGCCACAGAAACTTGTGGTGACGCTTGCAGGGGCTGCAACACCATACCCCCGTCCCCCATATTTTAGTGTTTAAAGTCTGTAGCAGTACAATTATAGCAAACTAAAACTCAAAGTAACTGCTTTGATTACGAGGAATTAGATTAACTGCACTCTTTTGCCAGAATTTTAACTGAATGGATGACCTGCATAAAAAAAGAAAAGAAAAAGGACAAAATTGCTGGGTGGTGTTGACCATAAAATGGATTGGAACTCAAACACAGTTTCTTATTGATTAATTTTAATAACGATGAATTTATTGAAATACATATGTGTAAGTATGTGAGATGTACATGTGTCCCACAATACATTTAGAAAATCTGTCTCAACTTGTAAAACACACAAAACTAAATGATTAACGGTGGTTTGAAGCAGAGCTGACACTGGCAAATTAGACTAGTAATTCACTATGTCTTAAGACTTGAACTCAATTCTTCTACAAAGGGCTAATTCACTACATGGAGAAAAAGAAGAATCACTCAGGACAGCAGTGAGGTCTATAATAATCTGTTGTCTCTTTCTTTCCTGTCTCCAAGGTTTCTCTTTTCCACGTAACCCTAAAGAGTGGACACAAAAGACATGTATTTGCATGAAAAGTGAGAAATAGAATATATATCTGGACTTTAAGTGGCTCCACACATCACTGATTCTTGAGTTTGATTTTCTTACCTGTCGACATACATCCCTCTCTCAGTTTCTCTGCTGTTGTACTCAGTGTCACTTTTGCTGAAGGAAAGTGGCTGGAATGTTGCTTTAACCAAACATTTTGAGATTTTGGAGACAGGTCTGAAACTGAAAAGAGATTCATTCTCATAGAAAAATCCCATTTTTGATCAAAGGAATGTAAATCACAGCTGGCTTACAAAAATAGTGAGAAAACAGGTTTTTTGGGGTTGGGTTTTTGGTTTTTTTTTTTTTGTTTTGGTTTGGTTTTTTTGGGGGGGGGATTTTTTGGTTTGGTTTTTTTGGGCTAAATTGGCAAGGAGGAGGCTAGGTTCTGTCAGACTAAGGAAGCCAGCTTTTCCTGGGACTGGGCTCCACTCTTCACCTGAATGTATCTGGGAGAAATTCTACTGCTAGTACTCACCCAATGCTAAATCTTTCATGTGTTTTTTCTTCTCACAAGCATCTTCCCAAGGTGTCTTTGACATCCCTCAGTTCCCACCAGTATTACACAACTCTCATCATTCTTATCATTACTTATTTTAAGCTTCTAATAGTTTTCTTTTCCATTGTAGGAATTTCCCCGTGTGCAGCAAGGAAGCCATTCTGCACATTTTAAGGGCTAATGCTGAGCTGTGGTCGCTGACAAGGGCTGATGCCACCAGGACCCATGTGCAGAAATGAAACTGCCCCTGTGGCTGCCTGCCTGCCATTTCCCATTGCTTCAGTGGCTCCAGAGACTGGCTCTGTGAGTGGAGTTACTGTTTTATATTTAGGGAGTTGGGTACAAAACTCTGGGAGAGAGTTGGGAATATTAAAGTGGTGTAGAAATAGTGCTCAAGAGAAGAATCAGAGGGATGCAGAAGACGGCTCTTCCAGAGAGTCAGGGAATACAAGGTGTCAGGCAAAGTGAAGCAGGGGCAAAGCAAGGGGAATGTAAGGTCTCTGGTCTGGGGACCAGCTGTGACTGCCAGCAGCAGTGTGTTGTCCTCACAGATCCTATTGCCACCTGAGTAGGAACCAGCAGTGGAGGACCTGGATCTCTGTGCCCTCTGCAGGAGACAAAAGCTGCATTCTACTGTGGCCAAGACATGGCCAGCTGAGTTGTGGAGGAGACCAGATATACACCAGAGGACAGAGTGAGCCGTGCCTATACCTCCTCTTGGCTCCCTCTTCAGTTTATATTATGGCTCTTTTTCTAAAGCAGTCATTACTCTTTTTTTTTTTGTTTGTTTCCTAACAATACAGAAAATTTCACCTTCTGCATTTTATATGGCTCTGTCAGTACCCTCTAATACTTTTAATTTCAAGAGCTTTTCCTGAACCTTTTAATTCTCAAGACTAGAAATCTTATTCAGATAGCAATTCAGTCTTTAAAAATCTTTACCTATATTTTCACTGCTGTGATCCAGGTTATCTCATTCTTCCATCTCTTCTTAAATCTTCCTTTAGAGTTCATTTATCTTTAGTTTTGCCAACAGTAATTTTCTTCAATAGGAAGTTTTTATATGCTGGAGTATAATTTGAATTATTTTTCCTTCCAGGTTTTAGGAAGTTTCATCTTGTTTTTCCTTTGAAAGATGGTGGATAGATTTGCCATGAGATGATTCCTAGAGAATATGCGAGAGCAGTCTAACATCATCTGACGCCTGCCAACCCAGCCATCTTCCCCCATGTCTTGTGCTAGAAATTGAAGCCCAAAGGTAGGTGTCCTCTGAGATGGTGGTAATTTCCAGTAAGCAGATTTAGAGGAAAATATTTTTTTTTCTTCTTTCAGGGCTTTCCCGGAGAATTGAAAATGTACTCTATTTTTATAGCTCAGTGGTAGCAGTTCCTCTCATTTACACTTATATATACATACATACAAATGCAGATATGCATACATTTATTTGCAGCAAGAAATAACTGTACTAAAATCTTTAATGATACTGAGGAAGCAGTCACCTGTTACTCTGCTCTGGCAGTTTCAGCTGTCTAGTGAACTTGAGTTATTGTGGTGATTTATCATTACTGCTTTAAGCCATATGCTATATTCTGCACCTATATTTTATATTTATAGCTTCCTGTATTGAATACTTAAATTTTCATCTTATTTTCACAATGAAAGAATTTTTAATGTGAAAAGCACTAACTAAAATTAGGTAATGATTACTCATGTCTCATCCTTGATACCTGCTACGTTTTTTTCAAGTGGTTGACCAAATTTGTAACCTTTTCACCTACATTCAGAAATCTGGGTTGGGTCACAGGGGTGAATAATGTTAAGGTCAGCAACTGTTGGCAGTTTCCTAGGGATGACTTCTGTCTCAGATGTGTAAGCAATCTTGGCCAGGCTGAAGGTCTTTGCCTAAAGTCCCTGAAAAGTGGTGCTGTTGATGATGGAACTGCTGGAGTGTGTCCCCAGCAATGCCATCCTAGGACATTCCTCATTTCCCTTGGCTGCTTATTCTCAACTGATCAGAGCAGCTCCTGTCTTTCTTGGCTTCTCTGGAGGAAGAGTTTTAGGGTGGTTCTGCAAAGCAGATCACCAAAAGGAGCCAGGCAGAAGAGCTGAGAGGCCTGGTGGTACCACAACACCCTTTTGCCAGTCTGATTTCATGGGCCACGACCTGCAGAAACAGAATGGGCATCACCTGAAAGGGGAGGACTGGGGTTAGCAGCCACAAGCTCTTCCCTACTGGAAAAAAATGGCTTCACCACTGAAGGAAGCATCAGTAACTATAGAGAGCATAAAAATAAAGTAGGAATGTCAAGACCTTTATTAATTAATAATAAATGATCTTGGTAACTACCTTTTCTGCACCTTGAGGTCAGTTTAGGGCTGTGCCAGATTTTCTGCCTCTTTTTTTGCACATTTACCCACTAATTTGCATTATCTACACAGTAGTTACCATTTCTTCCCTCCCCAGGTTACAATACTTGAATGTACAGTAGTAGTTACTCAGATAGTTTATTTTCTTGTTGTTTCTATTGGAGAGGGACAATAGAGAGGAGGAGGTAAATAGCAGATTTGATCTTTAAATTGAGCTCTGCAGGATAGGAGATGTCACAATGCTTGGTTGATGGCAGAGCCTGAAATGTAGGACGGCTCTTTGCCCCTGAAATGCTACCAGCCTTCTTTACTCCGCCTTCCAAAATAAACCACAAAATAAATAAAGCTTCCAGCATCAGTAAACTTCCTGCTGCTCGAACTGGCAGCTGGCCAACTCATTTGGACTGTTCTCCCCACTGGTATAAAACACCCATGCAAGGAGGGAGAAAAAGGTGAGGAGGCCCCTATGATGGCATATAAAAGAATGCCTTGCCAATTTTCTTATTTGAACAATATAACAGAAAATCTTGGACTCAGTGTTAACAAACAAGCTTACTCACACTCTTTTATAACTCTATTTTTTTTTTCTTTTTGAGCATTTATCACTTAAAACCATGCAATTGTTCATCTGAGTGAATAAATACACAAAACCCATTCCTCTTTGAAGTTTTAGCTGGGATTCAGGAAAATAGGGAGGAAAAAAATATCTGTACATAGATGCAGCAGTTTTCTGGGGTTTTAGTCTCCCTCCTGGACAGCATGTGTTTGGATTCTCTGGTGTATCTGTTTGGGTTCCACAGCTGAATGCATGAATTGCACAGGCAGTGAACTGAACTGCATTTTAAGCATGGTTTCTGCTCAGGCCCTTATAGGTATTTATGATTTGGTTTTAGAAACATCCAGACTCTGCCCCACGTGTTCTAGAAATTCAAAAACAGAAAGGTTCTGCAGAAGTACTGGCTAAACATAGGCTATTTTTTGAATGCAGATGTTTATGCAGAGATTGTTGATAACAACTGACAATTAAAAAGCATTTGATATAAGTGATGAAAACATCTACTTGGGAGGTTTGCCCAGTGTCAGCTACCTTGAGACTTGAACCCGGGTTACTGTCTGTACATTTCAGTCTGTGTTTCTGGATTTGCACAGGTGAAATGTTGACCTAGAAGAATATGGAACAAACCACTACAGCTTTAAGCTGCAGAGGTTTATAAAAAAAAAAAAAAAAAAAAAAAAAAAAAAAAAAAAAAAAAAAAAAAAAAAAAAAAAAAAAAAAAAAAAAAAAAAAAAAAAAAAAAAAGGCAGAAACAAACAAAGGCAAGCAGATGGCTAAAGATGAAGGTCACATCAGATTGAGAAGTTTGTCAAAATGTGATGACATAGGTAATCTGTAAACTGTTATTGCACCTAGCTGGAGGTGCTGAAAAACATTTTGAAATTACAAAAAACACTGGAGTCACCAGCACACAGGCAGGAATGATAGCCTGGAGTGGTTCTGCTCTATGGATGAATGCCAGATGTGGAAAGCGACATATCTGGAATTAATGATATTAAACATGCTTTTCTTTTATGCTCAATAATAACTCTATTATGATTGATACAAACCGCAGACACTTTATCTAGTACAAATGGAATCGTCTGTCATTGACTATATTAAATCATCAATTTCTGCATGATGAGAATCGTTTAGGGTAACTAATCATCTGTCTCGTTCTGAAGTCTTTAAGGCTGATCAGATAACGTTTTGAATACTGCCTGAGCAACCATGACAATCTAACCCTTCCATGTAAGGATTGAGAGGGGCCCATTATGCCGTCAAAGCCTGTGGAAATATCACAGCTCTTTCTCTACATAATACCCTGCTGTAAATAAATCACTCTCCACCGCAAACTTTATTGATCACAAGCACTTCCATGCTTGTGTCTAGTGAAGTCTCTACAGAATAAAATGCTGCTTTATATTTTGTCTTGTCAAAATATTAAACGGCTCTGTCAAGCGGAGTCAGGCTAGCAGTGATGGTGTAATTCTGCTGTAGCCCTTCTCATTCCCTCTTTCTATCTCAGCTGCCAAGCTTACAAAGCAGGATTTTTTTATAAACTTTCCAATTATAGTCTCGTAAGATTATGAAGCCTTAAGATAAAGTGTCCTAATTTAGAGTGGTAGAGTACTGGAACCACTAGACAAGAGCCTGTTAGATAAAATATTTCTCACAAGAAAAAGATAACCTGGCTTATTTATATACACAACATTAATGGGCAATAGGAGATAGCCTGGAATATCCCTATTATTTTACCAAGCGAGATAGGAGAGAAATATTTGAATTAATTCAAGCTCAAAGTGTTTATTATTCACAGACAAAAAACATCCCTCTTATTATGAGACAAATGTACCAAAGGAGGAAACTGAGAGACTTCAGGTTAGCACAGAGCTTTGCATTTTCATACCCTATCGTTAGTTTGTAATTCTGTAAATAAGATAATGTATCTGTAGTGATACAGAAGGGCCGTCAGGGTTGGAGGGGGAGGGAGGACTGCTCCTGCCTCCGACTTCAGCTCACGTTGTGTTTGTCATTGGATGGTCTCACTTCAGCACTGCTTAGCCACACAGAGCGCTGCTCTTTTTAAACACCCTGCGAATCTCCGGGGGGAAAAACCTGGGGTCTTGCAGAGCTTTGCTGAGAACAGCCTGGGCAGATTGTAAGGAGATTTGGGGCTGTCCTTGGGAAGAAGCCGGAGCACTTTCAGGGCTGCTTGACGTTGTAATGGTATTCACTACCTCAGGACTGCAGAATCTTAAGCTCTGTCAAGCATTCCCATATGCTTCCCTCTCCAGGAAAGGCGAATAAGAGCCAAAAGTGGTGGCAAAAAATTCTAACCTGTGCTGAAAATAAGGCTGAAACACAGAAACAGGTAGCTGACAGTGACTTCCTGACTTCTGGGCTTCTCTGGGAATCAGAGAAAATCTGGTCTCAAAATCACCATGCTTTATTCCCTTCCCTGTTTGATTTTCATGCAGGTAGAGTTTCTGTTCAGGGAGCATAAATGTGGAGTGCACAACCAACCTTCTTTCTCTTGGTTGTCTTTTTTTTTTTTTTCCCTGTGACAAATCAAAATCCATATTAGGTGAGAGAACAGCAGAGAGACCATCTGCAGAGGAAGATGGGCAATTGTGAAAAGAGGTCGAGAACAGAATAGGGAAGAAGGAGCAGCAGAGGCAGGGGTCAGCGGAAGGACAGAGGCCGTGAGTTGGAGGTGTACCCACTCATCCCACACGTAAGCTCCTTTCTCTGAGGCAGCGGGGAGCGATCTCTCTGAAAGCACCTACCGCAAGCAAGTCCTGACTCTGCTGTGCCTCACAGATATGACTCAAACAGAGATACTCAGTCTCAAAATGAAAGCAGGCAGAGTGAAGTTACTGATGTGTTGGACACTTGACAGTGAGGGCTCCTGAGCAGCAGAGTGCTGGCTGTCCCCATGAGTGACAGGTGCACCATCCGGTTTTCCAAACTGCATATGCAATCACCCCAAATAGCTCTTTTGTGTGATCAAGGAAATTTACTTTTTAAACTATGCTAGCCGAAAAGTATTCCAGTGACCTAAACCAGTCATGGGCAATTTCCGAGCCAAGGAACTGCAGGAGTACTTAGAAGTCCTAACATTTGCTGGTCACTCTCCTTTGTCCTTGCTCTTCCTGGTCTACAAATTGTTCCCTTCAGAAAGGGATTTAAAGATTCCCTTAAAAGACTTCAACAATATAATTTTCTCCTTCTTTATTACCTTTAGTGTTGTCCAATTAGGGGAAAAGTGAGGTGCCTATTACATCAGTAGTGGCAATAGTTAATGGCAGGAATACAGGCTGTGAAGAAGCAGTTGTTTAGTTAAAACTTTCATT